CGGGCGAGGGAGGGGCCCGGGGAACGGCGCGGGCCGGCCGGCCCAACCTCGCCACAATGGTGTTAAAACACTCAAGCACAACCTCAGTTAAAACACTCAACACCAATTTTCAGTTGTGGGTCCCACTGAGTCCTGAGCATACGTTGACCCATTTTATCACTGTAGGACCGTAAGAGCCTCCCTGTACTAGATGGGGTCATATAGTCAGATGCTTCAGAACATCTACTTTCTACAAGTCTTGGGGCTCCTCGCCACAATGGTGTTAAAACACTCAAGCACAACCTCAGTTAAAACACTCAACACCAATTTTCAGTTGTGGGTCCCACTGAGTCCTGAGCATACGTTGACCCATTTTATCACTGTAGGACCGTAAGAGCCTCCCTGTACTAGATGGGGTCATATAGTCAGATGCTTCAGAACATCTACTTTCTACAAGTCTTGGGGCTAAATATCTGTTGCAATGTAGTAACTCTTCTTTATACACAATCTGGCTGGACATACAAGTAACAACAAAATACAGTCTCAATGCATTTGTATGAAGTATATAAAAAAAAGAATGTTAAGTGGTTGTAAATGAAAATAATCGGGGTGCATCTACACAGCAACATTATTTCAAAAGAACTAGCATTGTTTTGAAATAACTTAATCTGCATCTATACAGCAGGCAGTTCTTTCAAAATAATGTCAAAATACCATCAAGCTGAAGGACTTCTTACTCCAATTCCTGTAACTCTCATTGTACAAGGACTAAGGGAAGTAAGAGGAAAAGTGCTCTCTTGAAATAAGTGCTGTGTAGATGCTAATTTTGAAATAAGCTACTCAATTGACATAGCTCAATTTGCGTAGCTTATTTCGAATTAAACCCTGCTGTGTAGATGCACCCTCAGATTAAAGTCACTAATTTAAAACAAACAAAATAATGCCAGCTCATTCTAATATAGCCAGTCCTCGTCAATTTATGACCGTTCATACTTATGACCAAATCTCCCATTAAGCGTGCGTAAAGGCGGTCCCCGAGCGCGGCTGCATGTAAATGAATGGGGTCCGACTTACGAACACTTCAAGTTACGACCAAGTGTTTGGTCCGTAACTTGTTCGTAAGTCGGGGACTGGCTGTATACTAAGAAACTTGTTACATGTGAATTCTTGCCCTGAACAGTTGTCCTTATTTCAAGTGCTTCTGGGGGTAGCTGAGTTAGTCTGTACAGAATAAACTAAAACAACAAATGGTCTGGTAGCACTTTATAGACTAACAAAACATATAGATGGTATCATGAGCTTTTGTGGGCAAAGCCCACTTCTTCAGATGACAGGAGTTTTGAGTTTAGGATGTGAAGATCTAAAATAAATAGAAGAGAAGGGGGCAAGGAGAGAAAAAGAAGGAGGGGGGCAGGAAACAAGGAACACAGGGTATGAAAATATCAAAGGGAAAAACAAGTAGGCAGAACTGACAATCTATAAATACCTGAAAATTGGATAGTTAAAAAGAAGCAGATAAGGATCAAAGGATAGCAACAGATTCTTTTATCCTTATCTGCTTCTTTTTAACTATCCAATCTTCAGGTATTTATAGATTTCCAGTTTTGCCTACCTGTTTTTCTCTTTGATAATTTCATATACCTCTGCTCCTTGTTTTCCGCCCCCCCTCCTTTTTTTTCTCTCCTCCCCCCCCCCCCATTTATTTTGGGTCTGCACATCCTAAAATCAAATCTCCGGTCATCTGAAGTAGTGGGCTGTGCCCACGAAAGCTCATGATACCATCTATATGTTTTGTTAGTCTATAAAGTGCTACCAGACCATTTCTTATTTCAGGTAATATGCTTCAGGCAGGAGTTAATCTTTACTCTGGCCTAAGTCCACAACTTTTTTCAGAGTTCTTTATTATCAGGTCCCCACCCACCTTGTTGGGTGGGCCAGGCAGTTTCAAAGACCAGCTGATGACAAGGGACTATTTGCTTTCCATTGCTTAAATAGACTTTCCCTTTGGTTGTGTGCACCCCTTTCCTTCCCCATGGAAAAATACAACGTTCAAGATGGATTCCAGTACCAGGTGGCATGGTCACATGTCTTTCAGGACCAAAAGTAGTTAGGGCAGATAGAACAAACACAACCATTCAGAGGTTAGTTCAAGTACCTGAAGAATCATTAATGGCCCTCATCAGTACATTTAGAATTACAAACAGATTCACATTTCATACTTCTAACTTCACGTACGAGAAAGATACATACACAAAAACAGGATATACAGATTCAGAAGATAGTACCTAGAAAACTGGTATGTGACATGACTTTTTTTGCATAAAGCATCTTCGAGTTATGCATATTCATATCCACAAGCCAATTTTCATAAAGTATGGGGTGGGGGCATGACAAGATATTTTAATGCCTTTTATTAAATGTAAGAAATAAAATCTATAAAGGACATCAACCACAGCATGGAGACTACGAGAGCCAACATATAACTACTCATTTTTATTTAGTCTTTGGTAAAATTATAAGCTTTACAAAATTAATATAGACTAGGAAAGTGATTTTGATAAAGTATAAATATTTTCTAATGTAAGTTTCCCAAAGCAGCCATAATTCAGACCTATTATATGCTATATGTAGTAGTATATGTTGTTCATTACTGAATATAGAAGGTTTGCATTCAGTGAGATAAAGATACAAGTGCTGCATGAACTTTAATTCTGAATGTCCTGACTCAGGACTATATAAACTTTGTCTTTTATTATTTTTAATTTAATTTTTTTTAAAGGAAGATCAATAGAAAAACACCATTCACATGCTCACAGTTTAGAGCACTTTAGGATCTTTCAGGTACACTGTGTAGAACGACAGGCAGAACTGAACCTGGTACAGCTGCAGCTTAGTGCATAAACTTCTACAGCTTGAGCTATAAAACCAGCTGGCTCTCAGGTAAGGCTGTAGAATACACTTGTTCTCTCTCTTTGCATCAATGGGAGTGGGGGGGATGTAATTTTGATTTGCTGCTACGTCTTTGCTTCTAGGGCATGTTTAAAAAACAAAGTTATGTATTTAAACTTTGTTGCACATTCTCAGCACAGTGCTTATTTTCTTGGGCAGCACAGCAAACACTCCATATCATACTAATGGCAACCATTCTTTAAGATTTTTCTGAGTTATTAAAATCTTAAGAGTCCTACATTTAAAAACAAATACCGTCAACAAGAAGAACTTTCTAAAATGAACTGCTTGCTTACTTTGCCTGACGTGCTCATGCTGTCCGTCTCTTCCGTAGCTTACTAACTATTTCTTGCCCCAAATATTCAGTGGGCTGTGGAGGGTTCCTCTTGCTGATTGTCTGCTCTGCTGGAAAATAGATTAGAAGTTGTTCTTGCAATCTTCTGCTATGAATACAAGACCTTTTAACCAAGCCTATTTGTTCCCTAACTCCACCCCTCAAATATCCAAAGCACTGATCAGAAAAACTAAACCCCTCCTCTAGTGAATCCCTATTCTTTGCTGAGCTTTTATAACATTAACAATTAGACTTGGGCTGATCCGGAAGTCTATTGTACTATTACAGTGTGTTTATACAGTGCCAGAAACACACATGGCATTCCAAGAAAGAGGAATGTGCTTGTCCTTACGAGTGGGAGGCAGATGCAAGTCCAAAGAAGAACCAGATATGCAGCCACATGGGGAAATCAGAATTCACGTTTCTAATACGGTACGGTACCTAGCAAAGGCTAGCAAAGGCTTTGAGGGTGCCAAGGAAGCAACACATTTAGAGATGCCGTGAACTGGGAAAAGGAAAGCAGGCACTGCTCTCAGGCAGCCTTGTCTAACTTGGATCCTCCCGCCTCCTTTTCAGCCAGAGGGGGACACACCAGTATTGAACGTGGCTAATAAAGAGGATCAGTTTGGGGAAGGCTTAGAATTCCTCCTCAACAACCTCAGAGAGGCACATATCCGTCGGACCAGGTGGTTTGTTTGCTCATTTTGTTTTGAAATGAGCTATTTTATTGTCGGGGTAAGAAGTCAGGACCTGAGTGACAACAGGAGGGGCCCAGGTGGAATTCCTCAGAGGAGGAGTTGTGTGCAGGCAGGAATATCTTGCTGATGCTTATTTGATGTTAATTAAGTTTAAAGGAATTCTTCCTGGAGACATTTGTGCAGGAGGCAGATTCTACCCTATCTAAATTGCTCCACTTAGGGCAATTATGTTGAGTCCATTTTCCTTTACAAGTTGCCTTGCCCGACTTGACCTGCAGCAATCAAGCTCCAAGGAGAAAAAGGATACCTACAAAACTCAACAATGGCTAAAGCAGCAGTCATAGTACTTCTGCTACCATTACGAATTTTAAATCTGATTGTTTCACTGTTATCTTGTTTTCCCTCTTGCTGTCTTACATCATGTGCAAATCCCATGAGATCTGTAGGGCAGTAACTGTCTTTATCACGTGTGTACAGTTCTTAACGCAATGGGGCCCTGATTGAGGCTGGTAGGCACCTTTGTGACACCACCAGTAATCTTCCTTTACTATAGAAATGGTGGACCCCCTACTGGAGTAGCTCTTTTAAATCATGTCAACCCTTGCAGTACAGCTACCTGCTTCCTGCATTGTAAACCACAGTCACTGCAGATGTCCAGTGGCAAAGAGTAGATTTCTTAAAAGCTATTGAATTACACAGGGTATCAAGTGTTCATAGTCATAAGACTTCTGGCCAATCCACTAAGATGTCAGTTAGTTGTAATGTAACATAGATTGCGGCTCCCTTATATGAAGAAAATGTTGTGTATAAAGGATATGGGGGCAGAGTTAAGGTTGTTTGGAAGGGAAACTCCTTAAAGCTGTAGGAATAATGAATTTTTTGTCACTAACAATTTGGGCAGGGAGAGGGACAAGAGAAATATTTGGAGTCAGATAAAAGGAAATTTCAAAACAAAAATATTATTTTAAGCCAAAATATTGAAATGTTTTATTTCAGCATTTTTGGATGTTTGGGATTTTTTACATGAAGAATTTAGTGAAACTGGTATTAATTTGTAAACTGTTTCAGTGTCACCAAATCTGCATGTTTTCCTGAAAAAATAATTCAGCCAAAAATTTCATCCAGCACTACTCCTTAACTCTGCATTGACTTTATCATATACAATAGCACCTATGTAACCAGTAACTTCTTTCCTGCTTTTGTGGATGTTCCCTTTGCATGAATATAATCCCTATGTCCCCAGTTTCCATTATCTCTCTTCTCTTATTTATTTTCTCCGTATTTCTCTCTCACTCTCTTTGAATTCCTCCCACCAAATACTTTCCATTTTCTTTCTTCTCCCACATTCATGGCTGATCTGAACTTCACAGGAACAGAGAAAAAGCTTTGGCTTTGAGAATACAGGCAGTCCCCAGGTTACGTACAAGATAGGGACTGTAGGTTTGTTCTTAAGTTGAATCTGTATGTAAGTCGGAACTGGCGTCCAGATTCACTCTCTTTGAATTCCTCCCACCAAATACTTTCCATTTTCTTTCTTCTCCCACATTCATGGCTGATCTGAACTTCACAGGAACAGAGAAAAAGCTTTGGCTTTGAGAATACAGGCAGTCCCCAGGTTACGTACAAGATAGGGACTGTAGGTTTGTTCTTAAGTTGAATCTGTATGTAAGTCGGAACTGGCGTCCAGATTCAGCCGCTGCTGAAACTGATCAGTTTCAACA